ACACTCATTTAGACCTCAATATTCTGACTTCCTCTTCACCACTAGTATTTCCTCACAGGATATATTTCAGGATATTCTTGGGAGAAAGGGTTAAGGAGAATGCTAACTGCCATACAGAAATAAACCACTGATCTCCTTGGTCTTACTGAGCTCTTGACCTATTTTTTTGTCTGAATAGCCAGGAAAGAAATTCAAAAGCCTTTAACCCTCCTCATACTTAGAAACAGAATCTAAAAATATACACATCTGATTGAAGTTCCTCACCACCTCTTGTTATCTCCAAGGATGAGATCACTGAGTCTTAGAACAGGAGCAGTGTTAGAGGGGTCACCATTTCTAGATGCTGACTTCAGATTTGCAAGACTCTTGGGCCATTGCTGTCAGATGCTGCCTCTTCCATCTTAAGAATTCAACTATATCAAAAAGAGTGGAGTTTAGTTCTTAGATTTTTTAATGACTTGTTTCCCCAGGTATCCTTATGGTCAGGAAGTTCATTCCATTGTCTACCTTTCCTGGATTCAATTTAAATGTATTTTTTTCCCAGTCTGTCTTCTACTGAGATGGAAATGTCTCATACACCCCTTTGAACAGCCTTTTTTACCCTTGAATATAGTTGTTAAGGTGCCCTTCAACCATCATTACTGTAAGCCATGTATCCTCTGTGATAAACATAATTAAAAAGTGCTCCAGGGTCTTCTTAAAGTAATGTGAGATTTTTATATTTTTATGCCTGGTGTGGGTGATGTTAAAGCAAGTAGTACTGGGATGGAATGGTAGGAGGGATGTCAAAAGATACCCTCCATCCTTAGCACTCCCTTGATGAAAATGACAGCCTTATTTGTTTTGTTAACCAGTGCATAATTAAAAGTCAATATTCGAGATCATAATAAAAATCTGTATAACTACTCATGTTATGAGACTGAGGCTTGGAGGGAAAAATCCATTAAAACACAGCCATGTGTAATTTACAAGAAATCAGTAATAAAATGTTTGCTCTCAACATTATCTGCAAAATGGTCTGTATATTACCAGAATAAATCCATATTACTAGGAGGCTGTAGATAAACATCCATAGGCAAAGTTCACATTGAGGTTATCTGCCTCGTGCTCTGAAACGGGGAGTGCTATTTAAAGGAGATAAATTGTGGTTTACTTCTCCAAGTCTCAAGTACATCGTGCAGAAATGAGTTTAGCTCCTGAGAGGGTATCTGTCATCTCCAAACAGGAAGGGAATACCATTATAGGGTTGTGCCCACTGCAAAAAGGATACAGCTTTTGTCCTTAGTTAAAAGCCCTGATATACCTTCTGTTCACAAAAAAAAGGGTAGTAGGAAAATATTGGATGTTTTGAAAAGCACTGATTCATTCAGCAGTGGAGTGATATCTTATTTAAAGTCTCAAGTGAATTCACTGCCCATGTATGTTGAACTGTTCATGAGGCTGTACCTTACAATTCTGAAGTTAGAATATTTTTACTCATAGAAAAAAATTTAATAGCAATAGGATGGAACCCTAAAACATCCTAGCAGAGTTTCAATGAGAGGTCTGACACCTCTCAAGACAAGAAAATGGGCACTGTCTTTGCATAATACTCAGTTTCCTCACATTAACTAATGACTGTTGCTTCATGTTATTTAAATTAAACTGTAAAGTGGTGGTGGGGAAAAGGAGTGTAAACATTCTGTCCCTTTATTGTCATTTTGTCTCCTTTCCCAACCCTTGGTCACTTTTCTCCATCAGCAGAAGGGACTTCTCATCCCATCTGGTGATGCCTACTAACATAAATCTGTGATAAAAACTCCGGGTTTAGAACTCTAAGCTTTGCTTTTGATATGGAAATGAAACCTCTGAAATTCACAAATCCCACATCTTTCTCACTACATCTGACTTTCAAGAACTATTGTGATTCTCAGAGTGTGGTCTGATAATCAGCAGCAACAGTATCTCCTGGGAACTTATTAGAAATGTAAATTCTGGGGGCCTGCCCAACATCTACTAAACCAGAAACTTTGAATGAGTTTCTGTAATAGGGCCCAGTAATCCATCTCTTAGCAAACCCTCCAAACGCTTCTGATGCTTACTAAAATCAGATAACCATTGCTGTTTGAACTCTAGAATAGTCTATCTGAGGTTCAGAGCCCAGCAATGATGTCTTTGTTCTGGATGGTACTTGTCTTCTCCTAAGCCAAAAAATGCTATGGACTTCATGGGTAGGGAACCACAGGGCAAGATTTACTTAAATGAGGAAAAGAACTACATTATATTTCAGAAACATTAATCCCTTTATATGCCTCCTACCCAGAAAAAAATTTTTAGCAAATCTATTGGGTCCTCATTTTCATGAGCATTTCTTGTTCCCACAAACCTATGTCTCTTTCTCTTTCACTGCTATCAGAAAATATAGTTATTTCAAAGTTGTCTATAGCTCTAGACCAATTTGACATTACTGAAATTAGAGAAATAATATATTGCATAGTACAGCTAATATAAAACTGGCATTCTGATAATATAAATCTATAAACTAGGCACCACTGAACTCACTAGAACCATGTTAATGAATAATCATGGCGAGGACCTCAAGACTTGGAAGTGCTCTGAGTCATGAAAAATACAAATACATCAAGCTACACTGACTCTAAATTTAAGTAATAAGTGTATTCTGTTATCCTCTCCAGATTTTATAGTACATCTCCACGGTTTTAGTTCAATTCAACATAACTGATGTTGATTCTGTTTACTGATAACTCTGAGTCTGTATTTTTGACTCAGCAGAATGCCCCTTATCCACCATGAATACAAGACTTGGGGACTGATGCATGGATATCACCATGATAAACAGAGAAAGGAGAGTTAAGGTCTGAGTTCTCAGACTGTACACAGGACATGAGAGCAAACACAAAAGAACAACAGGGTGTATCAAATTTGTAAAAGAAATAGAGATACTCAAGCTCTGTAGACACTGCATGAATTAGTATTTGTGGGAGTTCACAGCTTTGACAGTAGCTCTGCTTCTTTTGACAATCCCCTACCCTTGTAAAGATGAGTTTTCAGCATTTGTTCTGATAAAAAGCCCATGCCATGTAAAAATCACTACGGCACAGGAAATGAGGGTGGAGGCTGTTCTCTCTGGCACCAAGGTTTGAAAAACGGTGTAGTACCTGAGAGGCACACCCATTATCAGTCAATAACTATGGTTGTTTAAAAATGGAATAAACATTTTTTGTTTTGCTTTGCTTTGTTGTTCAGTGTGTGTGTATTTTCTAACAGCTACTCAGTTGTTAGGGCATAAATATGTTATACATTTTATATTGTTTGGACTTAGGGCACCTAGATGGCTCAGTTAGTTAAACGTCTGACTTTAGCTCAGGTCATGATCTCATGGTACATGAGTTCAAGCCCCATACTGGGCTCTGTGCTGAGAGCAAGGATCCTGCTTGGGATTCTCCCTCTCCCTCTCTCTCTCTCTGCCCCTCCCCCACTTGCTCATGTTCTCTCTTGCTCTCTCTCAAAATAAATAAACATAAACTTAAAAAAATAAATTGTTTGGACTTAACTACTTAATAAAACTCTTGGGTTTTTGTTTGGTTTCGTTTTGGCCTCAAGTTACCATTAACCATTAACCAATTTGTGAGTCTCTGGGCTAAGGGATTTCTCCTTGTTTGGAATCACAGAATAAGATATACACCAAACTTGGTAGGGGTCAAGCTTCCAGTCAAGGTCAAGAATGCAGGGCATAGCTGCCATGAGTCCTTCATTGGCCCAAAGCTTTTTCTTCCAGCATAGCAACTGTTTTTTCTCTGCCTGATATTATGATTAATTCTTATACATCAGTCTCCCCCATCAAACTATAGATTCCTGAAACCCATCCTTATTTGTTTCCACATTCTCCCATCAAAACATCTGTAACACCTTCTGAGATCCTCCCTTGAAATCAAGCAACTTTTAGATTCAGATTGAGGCTACCATTTCAATCTACTATTTAGCTATTCCAGGGTCCCGCAGATTTCAGCGGGGCTCAGCATTTGTGATGAGGCCTCATGATAGTCCCATGAACATGTTTAGCTGATCAGACGTCAAAAATCAAATCTCCTTTAAACTTGAGGGTTGGGGCCCAGTGGCCTGGCTGGCTTCCCCTTTCAGAATCTTATACCTTAATGAAGGACGGAATGGATGGACGCATGGATGGATAAACGGATTCTTTCAGAAACATTGAACTGTAGTTTAGCATTATTGCCATCAGTCTTGTAAGTCAGCAAACCTAAGGTAGCATGGGAGGGTGGCCAACACAAACACTGCTTTTCTGAACCTCTGGAGAGATCTCTTCCGAGAATGACATTCTTTAAAGGGCTTCTCCAAAACTATCAGCTCAAAGATTGTGCCTATCTTAAGAGTCATTAAGATCTTACTACCTGTTTGTAAACAAGATTTTTTGATAAATTCACTGTACATGAGAATACCTTCCTAACCTCCTTCATACTTACCAGTAAGGGAACTGAGCTCTGTTTAAGGCATAGTTATATCTAGGTCATCTATCCAAATAAACACAATTGTCCCAACTTGTACATTTGATCGTATCTGTTATAACTTTGCTCAAGAAGACACCCCGTTATTGGAGTAGAGGAGGAAGACTAAGTTAATCAAATGATTCCTTGTAATTAAGGTTCATTGACGCATCTGCTATATTTCTTAGCAAGTATGTGCTTGGAAATGAATTGTATTCCAATGGTTAATTTGTTAATTAGTTGTGTGCAACATGAAATTCATTTTTCCATTAAAAAATACTTCTAAAAAGTGGTTATACTTCCAGCCTAGCCTCCCAAACTTACCTAGGCAATAACTTCGCTAGAGTTAAGTATATTCACAATGGGTTCATATTGCCTTGATGTACATGCTTAAACAGAGTGAAAAAATAAAATTAAATAATAATTTCTTTTTTAAAAAATGTATCTTGAAGACTCATGCTTTGAAAAAAGATAGTTTTAATAACAAAAGGGATGTATGTGCTCGCTTCACATACACATATACTAAAATTGGAATGACACAGAGAAGATTAGCATGGGCCCTGCACAAGGATGACACACAAATTCTTAAAACAAAAGGCATGTGATAGGAGAAAACTTTCAGGAAGATTCTAAAACAGATTTTGGAAGAAATCCAAACTTTTAGGATCCTATCCCCAATTCAAAACAAATAGTTAAATCAGAGATAGTAAGGAAAGTCTTGGTGTTTATGGGATTAATTTTCCCCTGACCTTATTCTCTACTCATTATGACTTCGTCTGTGGACAACAGATACATGTTGATCTATCTTCCCAGTATCCCTTCCTTCTTTTACTGGTGATAGCAATTCAATATTCCTTTATGGGAAATATTCCTACCCTTCCCTTAATTTATGTAGTTCAATAGGATTGACACCATCTCTGGGGTTAAGAAATGTGTCAGGAATTTAGGTTAATCTGAGCATTCCAGTCCTCAGCTCATTGGTCTAGAGATGAGCATGTGACTTTAGCAGTCCCAGTCAGAAAATGTGCATGACTCTTACTACTGGAAAAAAAGACCTTCATTCTCCTAGAGTATCTAAGCTTTTAAGTTACAAGCCTGATGCTCCTTATAAAAATAAATAAATAAACAAACAAACAATGAAAATTTTTAAAGTCAATCGTATTTGGAAATCAAGCAGAGCCAAGAGATGTACAAAGATAAATTCCTGACCACAACTTTTAAACTCCTGTGCCTCAAACCTATTTCTTATATACATGAGCCAATGATCTTTCCTTGTTTCAGGCATTTTTTCAGTTGGCTTTCTGTTACTTTCAGGCAAAAAAGTTGGATTATTTTACAAGAAATATCAACTAGTAAGTGTATATTTTAGACCACTTCTAAATTTTTTTAAATGTTTATTTATTTTCCAGAGACAGAGAAAGAGAGTGTGTGTGAGTGGGGGAGTGTCAGAGAGAGAGGGAGACACAGAATCTGAAACAGACTCCAGGCTCTGAGCTATCAGCACAGAGCCTGACGCGGGGCTTGAACCCACAAGCTGTGAGATCATGACCTGAGCTGAAGCCAGAGGCTTAACCGATTGAGCCACCTAAGTGCCCCTATTTTAGACTACTTCTATGGGAATAGAAGGAAGACCCATCCAAACTCTGTCCAGATTTTGACACCAGGTGGATTGGCTTCTAGATAATTCCAAGGAAATTTGAATTATAGGACACAATAGTTATTTTGTCATTTCTTATTCTTCTATGCATGGCTTTCCTTTTTCTCAACTTGGATCAATTCTTACCATTAATCACCCATTGCTAGTGATATTTTATTCCTCCCTACCCTGCCCCCAAGGAGATTATAGAAATATAACAAAAAGAGAAAGAAGGAATTATAGAAATGTAACAAAAATAGAAATATTTTTCATTAGAGAACTGGAATTCTTATCCTCTGCTTCATTACTAATATGCCCATCCTAGCAAAACCACTTTAATCACTCCAGGTCTTTGCTCCCATAGTTGTGTAGAAGTAACTGTGATTCTGTGACTTCTGAAGGAACTGGAGGTGGAAGAGATAAGGCTGGTGGGCCAGTGCTAAACAAAGGTATATGGACAGGTCAGAAAGGGATTTCCTCAGGTGTGACTGACTGAAGCAAGAGCAGTGGAAGACAAGAAATCTAGGCATGCCTTGGACACAATCCCAGTCAAAGGAAAGACAGTGGTTGAGAAGAGACAGAGCCAAACAATTCCCTGGGAAAGGCCTCTGGCAGTGGCCCCAGACAGGGCCTAGCAGATCAAGCATTGCAGATCCATAAGGGGTTGTCCGTTGACGGAAGGCTGTAAACTTTCCTGAATGCTCTCAAGAAGTCTATGCTTAATAAATCTGGTCATTTATGTGATTCCTACAGTAAAACCCAGATAAGGAAACACTTAACTTTTTATAACAAGGAGGTGAGAGAGAAAGACAGAGATTTTATGACACAGAATTTTTTTCTCTGAAAATGAACATAACTCTGGTTAATATAAGCAAGAATTTTCAACTTACTGGAGTAATTAGTTGACATTCGGTTATAAAATAAACCAATTTTAAAGTGCTGATTTTCTGCTTTTTATATAGCTACTTAATGTCCACAGAAAAGTTTTAATTCCAAATGAAATGAATTGCTGGTAGTAGGCTAACAATCTATTTAAGATATAAAAACTGCATAATATGTACAGATTTAAATGCAGCTTTGAATTGTATGTATTATATATTTGCCAACATGTTTCTTTTGGGAGACTGTGATGCTAACTTAACTGCCAAAGGTTACTTGATACATGTTCTAGAGGGCTTTCCTAACTAGGTGATGAACACATGAAAAGAAAATTTGTGTACATTATAATAAATTTAAAATCATTATCCATTAAAATCACAGTGTTCAAGTTACTTCCATGACAGGAAAGATGGAGTAGTCATACATTTCTGTATTCCTTTAACAAAGTACAACTAAAAACCCTGTGCATTACTTATGGAAGAAACATAAAGAAATTCTTAATGATAGAGAGAAGACAGACATGTTGTGGGTCTCGGAAGCCAAGGAACAGCACAAGTATAAGTTTCCTGGGTTTCTATGGTTAGTGTATTTTCAAGTTTAATTACTGGGGAGAGGTGGGCAGGAGTTGTTCTGCTTCATGCATTCTAGACAGAAGAAACCAGCAATCCAGAAACTCTAACAGGCACAGACAAAACAAATTCCAACTACATTCTGCTTTCTCCAACCAAACACCAGCAAAAGGGCAGCCTACCAAGAAAGAAAGTTTTAAGAAAAATAACAACTCCAGACGCACATCACAAAAAACCACCATAGCCGCTTCCCAGCCTGCAACAGCAAAGGCTGATGGGGGAACCTAGAAGTCACCTATGCCAGGCTGAACAAAGCACTCCAAACACTCTGCTAGAGCAGTAACAAAAGGTGGGGCAGGTAGCCAAGATTTTATCCCCAGAAGGGCAGTAGTGTCTCCCTGCCCCATACTAAAATAGTGGGGAACTGGAACACTCACCTTGCCAGGTAGTGTCAGGGAAAACCAGCTAAAACAGAAGCCTCAAATAAGATTTAGAAATACCCAAATATTTATAAAACCCAAAATTTCCAGGTTTTAATAAAAAATTATACATCATACTAAGAACGAAGAATATCCTGAATTTAGGGGCACCTGGATGGCTTAGTCAGTTGAGCATCTGATTCTTGATTTTGGCTTAGGTCACAATCCTAGGGTCATAGATCAAGCCCCATGTCAGGCTCTGTGCTGAGTGTAGAGCCTGTTTATGGTTCTCTCTCTCTCTCTCTCTCTCTCCCTCTCTCTTTGCCCCTCTACCTCCACTCTCTCTAAATTATTAACTAATTTAAAAAAAAGAATATGCTGATTTTTTTAAAAAAAAATCAATAAAGGCAACACTATACCGACATAGGTATTAGAATCACGTGACAAAATGTTTTAGAGTAGCCGCCGTAAAAATGCTTTGATGAACAAGTAAGAATACATTTAAAACAAATGGAAAAAAATATAAAGCCTCAGCAAAGGAATAGAGTTTTTCTGGAGAAATAGAAGATATAAGGAAAACAAAATGGAAATTTTAAACCTGAAAAATACAATAACCAAAACTTCAGTGGATGGGCTGAAAATCAGAATGGAGAGGATAAATAAAAGAATACTGAACTTGAAAATAAAGCAATATAAATTACCCAATCTTAAAAGGAAGAAAACAGATTTAAAAATAAATAACCAGAGCCTCAGGAATCCATGGGACCACTGCAAAAGATCCAACCATTGGATCATGCCAGTGGAGTCCCAGCAGGATAGGAGAAAGATGCAGTACTAAAATATTATTTGAGAAAATAATGGCTGAAATCTTCCTGATTTGGCAAAAGGACATAAGCCTACATTCAAGAATGTAAGTGAATCCCAATCAAGACAAACTAAAAACACCCACACTAAGTATATGAGTCTGCTGAGGCTGCCATAACAGAAGAGAGTGTAGCACACTGGGTGGCTTAAACAACAGAAATTAATTTTCTCACAGTTCTGGAAGTCAGAAGTCTAAGATCAAAGTTCCAGTAAAGTGAGTTTCTGGTGAAGTCTTTCTTCTTGGATTATAGATGACTGTCTTCTCACCCTGACCTCCCATGGCCTTTCCTCTGTGAATGCATGGAGAGAAAGAGAGAAAGATAGAGAGAGAGAGAGAGAGAGAGAGAGAGAGAGATATTAATCTGGCATCTCTTTCCCTTCTTATAAGAACACCAGTTCTGTTTAATTAGAAATTCACTGTTATGACCTCATTTAACCTTACTTACTTCCTTAAAGGTAATCTCCAAATGCCAACACACTGGGCATTACGGCTTCAACATATGAATCTGGGAGAGGCACAATTCATCCATAACACCAGGACATATTATGGTCAAACTTCTTACACATAAAGGCAAAGAAAGTATCTTGAATGCAGTGAGAGAAATGACATCTACGTGGAAAAAAATGTGGATGATAATGAATTTCTCATCAACAACAATGGAGACCAGAAGGAATTTTTCAAGTGAGAAAGAAAGAAAGAGAGAGAGAGAGAGAGAGGGAGGGAGGGAGGGAAGGAGGAAGAGAAAAAAAGAGAGAGAAAGGAAGAAAGGAAGGGAGGGAGGGAGGGAAAGAAAGAGAGAGAGGAAGGAAGGAAGGAAGGAAGGAAGGAAGGAAGGAAGGAAGGAAGGAAGGAAGGGAGGGAGGGAGGGAGGGAGGGAGAGAAAGAGAGAGAGAGAGAGAGAGAGAGAAAGAAAGGCCAAGCCAGAACCTTCTATCCAGAGAAATCATACTTCATAAATTGAGGAGAAAGCAAGACATTTTTCTGATAAAGTACATTAAGCAACTTTGTCTCCAGCAGTCCTACCCTAAAATAATGGCTAAAGGAAGCTTTCTAAACAGAAAGTAAATAATAAAAGAAAGAAGTTTGAAATTTCAGGAAGGAAGATAGAACATGGTAAACAAAAATATGAATAAATACAATAGATTTTCCTTTTCCTCTTCAATTCTCTACTTTACATTTGGTCAATGAAGCCAAAATTTTAATGCCATTGGATGTGGTATGAATAAGAAATATTTAA